TCAAAATAAGCTTCGTAGGCTTCACAAAGCTTTTCACATGCGTTTAAATAAAATTTTATATCTCGTACTTTAATAAATGTACCACATATATAACAAAATGCATTAGCATCATATTTACACTTTCTAGACGACATTTTAACCTCTTCGAGTCTTCTACAAAACAGTTAATTGTTGTTTATCACTTAAGTGACATCTGTAGACGCTGTGTGACAGTTACGCCATCTTTATTTTTTCGCGGTATTTTTAAAAACATCAGAACTATTGAATACTCTTTTTTAATATGATAACTCAAGAAAAAGGATTTATTATCATAACTACCACAAAAGCAAACTTTTTAAGGAATATGGGTATTTTTCCTTTATTTTAAAACATAATGAATAGAAAATTCATAAAATAAATTTTAGGACAAAGACAAATTTTTTTTTGTAGAGTTGTGTTATTAATAGAAGCGAGTGGCTATTTCTTAAAAAAAAACAGCTATTGGCTTCTACTAATAATTGTTTATGTTCTACTAGGGTTGTTTATGATGTGAATTAATGTATAACATCACATGGCGAAGGGTGTAGATTTTAACTCTAACTTTAGACTTCAACTTGCGTCATACTATTTTTTGATACTTCTTTTTTATCTTATCGTTAGTCATGTACACATGTACTACATGTGCTGATAATTAAGTGCGTTTAGCATAGAAAATTTTCCTGCAAGCGGTCAGCGACATTTTGCGAATCTTTGCGATTGTTAGCACCTTCCATATCACGAACGTTTTAGACTTATACCAAGTTGCTTTAGCGGGAAACGAGTTACGTAAGATGGAAATTTGGAAGCTAATGGAATGTTTACCAGCGCCGAACTTCGTTCACGTCGATTTGGCCTAACATCGCGTTAACCCATACAGCACAAAAGCTGCAGCAGCATTGCTGCAAGTTGAAAGATTGCATATTGTAAATGCAATGGTGCAACAATATTTCAAACACAATATTGCGTAATATTAAATCTGCAATATTGCAGCTACACTGCAAATACAATATTCTAAATAACTCTATCGCTAAATAACTTTTTCGCTCTGCGTTCCGTTTTACGCATGAAACATATTCGCATACACGCATGAGCTGCTTCACCTCGAGAGCTGAGGCAATTCATGCGTTCTCTCCCCGTGTATTTATTACATATACATATACAGTGATTGGAAACAACTCTGTGTCCTTAAAAAGACGTAATCCTGGCTAGCTTCTGAAACGATTTTTTTTACAAAATTTTATCCGAAATATAGTTTTTGAATTATGAAAGGAAATAGTTATTTTATTATCAGGGTGAATACAGAAGGTAGGCTGTGACGGCGCAACTCACCGTCAGACGTGACAACTGACAACCACCTAACATAAGCGACCACGTATGACGCGATAAATTGCGCCGCTATTGCCTACGCCCTGTAATCAACTCGTGATAAGAAAACTATTGCCTTTTATAATTTAAAAACTAGATTTCGGATAAAGTTTTGTAAAAGAAATAATCGTCTCAGAATCTCGTCAGGATTATGTCTTTTCAAGGACCCAGGATTGTTTCCTATTACCCTTTATACATACGTGCAACGTTGTATTGCATTTTATTGCATTATGGCTACATTATTACATTGCAATATTGCTGCAGTCTTGCCTTTTCATATTGCTGCGTAGTTGCATTGCAATATTGCTGCATTGTTGCATTGAAATATTGCTGAAGGCGGACATTCTAATGTTGCTGCAATGTTGCTACAATATTGCAGCAACATTTCGCAATTTTGCTGCAATAATGCAATCTTTCAAAACAATATCTCTGCAATGTTGCTGCAATATTTCCGTGCTGTATGGGAACTGCTATCAACTTTACTAACGCCATAGTTGTAGTCTCTTAAGGACCGTCTACATTGAAAGTAAGCAGTAAAAAGTAAGATGCATAACCTTTACTTATCGGTGTAAAAGCTAAAGTACAAGCATAATTTAACTTTACTCCCACTCTTGCTTCTTACGCCAGGCTTACTTCACCTATTGTAGACGTTTCTTTAAAGGCCATTCTACAATTGCGTAAATGTAGTTGTAGGGTTGTAGGAGTAGAAGTAGTATTATAGTAAGTGTTGTACATCAAAGTAATATACAATAGAGTGAGATACGTCGTAATTGAAGCGAATGATTGGTTAGCTTTTACGTCCTACATCGTTGTAGTCGTGAAAGATGAAGTTCAGCCATCTTTTACAACAGGCTTTACTACTATTCTACAATTGCGTAAACGTGGTTGTTAGCGGTTGTACAGTGTGGTAAAACACAGTTTTAAACTAGCATTTCCGATTGTAAAGCCTGTTGTAAAAGATGGCTGAACTTGATCTTTCACGACTACAACGCTGTAGGACGACGTAAAAGCTAACCAATCATTCATTTCAATTACGACGTATCTCACTCTATTGTATATTACTTTGATGTACAACACTTACTACTACTTCTACTCCTACAACCCTACAACTACGTTTACGCAATTGTAGAATGGCCTTTAAGCGCCGTCTACAAAACGTGAAGTAAGCTTGGAGTAAGAAGTAAGAGAGAACCATAATAATTTTTAGCTTCTGGTGTAAGGAAGCTAAAATACAGGCATAATTTGTAAAATATTTGTAACCCTGGCCGATGGCATTCTGATTCACCGAGAGTAAACGTAAATAAAATTGATTTGCTTCCTTACTCCGTGCATTGTAGACGACGCATTGGTGTTTGGCCTCGCAACAGTATCTCAGCATGCAAACCTGTAAAGATAATTGAGTCTGACAAAAGACATTGGAAGGTGCGACTTTTGTAAATTTCTCAAAATCTCGTAAGGCAGGATACTTTATCCGCACCGTCGTAGAAAAGAAACGATACGGAAACGCTAGTATCAAAACAGCAACGTCCACAAGAATCCGCATTGAAACCTCCGGGGAGACCTCAGTGAGGAATGACGAATTGGAAAGATGTCGAGTCGGCGTCGAATCCATCGAACGGACGTCGATTAGATGTCGATCGACGTCCCTTCGACCAATCATTTCTCACTGGGATATTTTCGTTTCTCCAAATACCCGTGTACCCATTCCGGGTGCGATTCATTCACACTCCTTCTCCGCCTCCGCCACTCCGGATCCGTCACTCCGCTCGCGCTTCGCTCGTGTGGCTCGACCGTCGGCACTGTCTCTCCGACACGTTAGTCCTATCAGCGGAGATTTGACACTTGACCCTTGACGCTGGCCTAAGTGTCCGCGTTGGCGGGTAAGTCGCGAGCATTCCGCGGGATCGGCAGTCCTACGTCGATCATCGCGCGCGTTAATTATTAACTGGTGCCGAATTCCGCCATCTGGCAGCCATCGATCACGTGCGTCCGCATGTATGCAATCGCATCCCCCCGCGAAATGCGAGCTCGCAATACTCCGATTACTCCGCGGCGTGTCCGACGTTCCGACGTAGAAGGTGAACGATAAACCTCGCCTTTTTCTTCTTCTTCTTCTCCATTTTTTCTGCGTCTCGCCGCGATACGGCATTTTTTCCCTCGACTGTTTCGTCGCCGACCGATCAGCGATCAGCGTGCGCGATGATCCCAGTTAAGAAGACTGATTGAGGTCATGCACGTGGAGAACGCACGCGCTCGCGATTGCAGGTGTACACTCGCGCGGGAGTGAGACGGGGAATTTCATGTTTTCGAAGAAGCGACGTTAAACCCGTTGACGGGACTCTGCAGTCAAAGGTATTCTAGACTTTGACAGCGAAATTTGTTGACGGCCGATCGACGAGTCAATTAATCTTGCATCGACAGTCATAATTATTGAAGATCGCAAACTGCGGCTGGCAATTTGAAATCTGGAGTTAAAGGGAGCAACGGGGATTAGCAGGTATCAAGAATAAGTCGAGGCTGCGATTGCAACAAGTAAGGAGAATTGTTTACGTCAAATTAAAATCCTGTCGCGACTCCTCTCTTTCTTCTCGTCGAAAGAGACGTGCGATTTATGTGCGTGCAATTTTTTCCGATCTTCTCGCAACCTGTACTTTTGCAAAAAATCAGGGCTCAGAGGTAGAGTCTCTTTTTTTTATGTTTGCTGGAAATATCCCCGGGAGAGTAGCAGAGGGAAAAGCTGTACGACCATAAATTGTATCGTCTTCGCGCGTCCCAGTTATCTATCATCAACTCTTGTTAGGAATAAATCGTCACGGACGCCGTCGGCGTCGACGTTTTGTCATATCGCAGTTATTCACTGTTCGCGAAAACAAATAACAGCGAATTACTCTCGCTGACGTATACATGCGTACAGGAAATGATTTTTCCCTAATTTCGGGAATGGCAAATCGCGCTCGTATCGATTCGCTTCGAGTTCGGTACCGATTCTCTTGTATTCCTCTCTGCGACAATTTTTTAAATAATTTCTAATTTATAATCCTATTAGCTTTCGCGCGATACGTCCCCAATGCGCAGAACATTAATCAGGTCTCATTGCCCGGCGAATTACATTGTATCGATACGTCGATACGTGAGTCGGTGCGAGGGAGGATTCTTAATTGAGGTATATCAACGACTCCATTCGATAGAACCACATCCTGCACTCGACGTTTTACGTCGTATAAATATCACCGCGTGCCTCAACGGTCGAATTGGTAAAAACGCCCGTCACGGATTGTACAGAGGCCCAGGCTCGAATTCTGGCTGAAGCGATATTACTCGCAATAAATTCTTTATTATTTCAATCGGAAGCGCGTGATTCAAATAGGACGCGTACCTGCCGTCCAAAATTAAATTGATTTAAAGTATAGTAGCACAGTTTATTGACCAAACTTTAGTTAAACATTGGCCCAATATGTGGATGTATCGGGCCAATGTTGAACCAACGCACTGTGCTAGTAGGGGTGGATTTACTGTTTCACAAAGCTGTTTTAAGACCGACAAATAATTGACGCGCAGTTTACTGGCAATGAGTTAGAAAAAGTACACAAAATTCACATAGAAATATTACGGGGCTACCAAGACCCGGCCCGACCGAAGATGGCACGTCTTCTGGTACAAAATCCGTTGTAAATTAAGAAAATATTCTTCCTCGCACAGCTATAGTAGCGAATTCGGTTGCTTCACCCTCAGAAAGGATTTCTGTTACCGAGACAAAAGATATTCTTGACGCATTTATATTTCTCACAACCTCATTTAGTATAAAAATAGAATAATATGAAAATAAAATCAACAATTCTTATTCTCCTCTATCGAATTAAAAAAGATTGACTTGCTATATTGAGACATGAGTAACTTATATGAATGTAAGTTTATATATTTTTGCGTTTAGAATAAATTTTCTCTCCATCTTACAACGCACCAAGTTAGCACCACGATATTTGACAAAAGACTAGACATACTATCATTTTATTCTAGATTTTAGAATTTTTAATTTAAGATTAAAATATTCCTTTCTCTATAATAAATATGATTGGCGCTATATCGATCCTATTTTATGATATATTCAAGTGTAATAGCATTGGATCCGGAAATGTTTTCTGTGGGTGTTGCACTAGCGCGCACCGAGTGCACACTAACGCTTGTTTACAGTCAACTCTTGTATTCATGGATCGTCTTAAATATCTCTTGAAATATTTCTTAGCCAGTAAAATGATCTGTATAGCACCCATGCGGATCATTTTTTAGCTAGATATTCTTTAAATATGTATCTTTAAAACAAAGTTAAATATAAAAATTAATTACAAACAGGTGCAAGCAATCGAATTCGCTATAAGTTATTCGACGTGGTTGTTAATATAATTGTTACAAGCCGGAGTACGCGCTTTCTCCGATCGGCGTACTTAATCTCGCGTAAACAAAGCTCCTAGTTTCTAATCTAATCTAGGCGTTCTTGGACGAAAACATCTGACAGTCTGTTTTTCTTTTTTCGCGAAATTGCGTAACAATCACGATTATTCGAACTGAAATCGAGGGAGATCAGTTAGCGCCGTATGTCGTCCGCGCGTTCGCGCCTGCGACGCACCTTGTGAAAATAACGAGAATCCAGATAAGGGATCGCGACAATTATCGGCGCCCGACCAGTCAGAGGGAAATCATTTTCCCATGGCGCGACGTATTGAAATCTCCCATCGTTTCGCGCTATATGGACTTGTCAGCGCCATTCTGCGTCGTACGTATTAAAAGTCGCTCGAGTCTTTTCAGAAAATATGCTGAAAATCGAGCCACGATCCGCAATTTTATTTCAAAGCCCGCCGACCTCGCGCGGTTGATAATGTTTCTCAACGACTTTCCCGCAGCCACTCGCGAACCGTAGTGCTGGCGCACCAAGTCGACCAAAACAAGCGCAATTATATCGCTTAAATCCCGAAAAAAAATCGCGCGCAACGATTAAAACGAAGTTCATGAAATTAATTGAAGAAAAACAACTCGTTAATGATATCTTAATGTGGTCCCCCGATGCACTTTGTGTCTCGGGGCCGAAGTTTAGTTCCGTGTTTCTGCGCATGTTTAGCACATGATGTAAGGCGGATTTGGTACTTTGGAACGCGATCCACATTGGTGTTTTAATATCATCAAGATTCACGCGGCGGTGCGGAATTGTGAGGGATAGAGGTCCGCTTTCTCTAATCTCCCGCCTTATCTCTGGCTCTTCTCTCAATAGTAATAAAACGACCGTAACGCGCGACCAGTTCGTTCGGAGAGCCTAACAGTTCGTAAACGGTTACAAAAGGTAGCGGACTAATTCGAGCTTCAGCACCTACGGTACGCTCGGACCTGCGCTGAAGCCTCGATATGTCCAGCGAAAAGCGCGAAGCGAATCAGTATTATAACACACCCCGCGCGACGAGGGTTCGTTGTTAATAGCGTGCAGGGGCAAGACGATTGCAAGTAGATCGCGTTTTGCGGATGTCGCAAAATATATTGTTTTGCCTTCAGCACGCTCTGTCCGGCTGACTCACGATGTAGATCGAGACTTACGCGGTCATTCAACACGAAACTGCAACGTGAAAGCGATTTCACCCCCGATCTCTCGCGTAAGACACGAAACAACATAAATATATTCTGCTTGAAGATTATATTTCTCTTTTTGGAGCGCGCATTAGATGTTCATTTTTCTTCATATTTAAATCTTCATTTTTAATTTAATTATCTGTAGGTAACTGAGCAGAAGCTAATTCCAGAGGACAAAAGAGTTTCGCGGCACAATTAGATTATATTTGTGAATTAAATGTAGATAGAAATAGATAGAAAAGAACGTTGATTTATTTATTAACAGCGATGAAGAAATTTTCAAGATCTTTTTACATTTGAATCTTCTTTTTTTTTCGTTCGATCGCTTTTGGTTATCCATGCTGAATCGCAGATCGCTTCGTAATGCGGTGCGACCCCTTGGTCGTGATGTAACCTTGTCTGCTGCGTTTAAAGGCTAAATCACTAAACACAAATAAACACGATCTGGCAAACATTCGACGACGTGCCTCCGCGCGAATTGTTGCGTATTCCACTGGAGCAGATTCTCTCTAGATGCATTAGTCCGATCTATTATTTCCCAAACTTTCCGAGCTAAAAGTGTGAGCACGAGTTATCTCGAATTCACGTTACAGCGGACATTATAAGCCTTATTACATTATCCTCCGACATCTTCTAACGTTATCCCGTGAACTTCGGAGAGTTGGGAGAAACATTTTTCAAAATGACTCCGCAATAAGATAAGCGGGGCCGAAAAATATCCCTTTCAACTCGTACTTGATTCAGTTTCAGATGATCGATAATTTAATCTTCGACAACATGGGGAACGTGATGCAATTAGGCGAGATCGAGGACGAGGAAGGACTCAAGTGCAACGACACGGCTCACGCGGAACTGCCAATCGAGATGCGCTTCAATGACGGCCACTTGCTGACGATAATCACTTACAGCATCCTGATGGTGATATCGGCCACTGGAAATATTTCCGTGCTAACCATAATAAAGAGACGAAAGTCCAAGTCCCGAATACAGAACCTCGTGATGCACCTATCGATCGCTGATCTCTTTGTAAGTATGGCTCGGGCGCGAACAACTTCCCAGCGAGAAACGACTCGTCGGTCGATTTGACATCGTTTCGACGAATCATCTCTCACTGGGCTAATGTGATCATCGCGCCCGCGGTTTGCGCTTAAATTTAGAAACTGGTATGACACGTGTCGCATCTTAACGTCGTCCAGGTGACGTTCCTGATGATGCCATTCGAAATCGGATGGTCGAGCACAGTGTCCTGGGAGGCAGGAGACGCGATGTGTCGCATCATGGCTTTCTTCAGGATGTTCGGCCTGTATCTCTCGTCTTTTGTAATAGTCTGCATAAGCATCGACAGGTCGGCACAACATTATCGTAAATCGCAATTTCCTTCCTTCATTTTTGTGACATTTGGGATTGTCGTACATAAGATTATTCGTTCACGTAGCCGCATCTTCTAGGTATTACGCCGTGATGCGACCCCTCCAGATACTAGATGTTCACAGGAAAGGGAAGATATTGCTGATGCTCGCGTGGATTGGCTCCGTACTTTGTTCCTTGCCACAGGTGTGCTAACTTTTATATACAAGCAGTATTGCGATACAGTTTCGCTTCGTGACCGGCGTTAAACAGCGTGTCTCGTTCCCCGTAGATGTTGGTGTTCCATCTCGAGACGCATCCGAATTACACTTGTTACACCCAATGTGTAACGTTCAATACCTTCCCGTCGTACGTGCACGAAGTCTCGTACAGCCTGTTCGGCATGGTGGTGATGTATTGGTTCCCGCTGATCGTAATATTCTACACGTATACCAGTATTTTCATGGAAATCTGCCGTAGATCCAAGGAGAGGAGCGAAGGTAAGGCCCGACCCGGTGAGAAATGCCGAAACGACGTCGACGAGTCATTTCTCGCTGGGGAGCGCAACTTGTCGCGCTGTAAAAACGCTAGAAATTATATGGAAAATGTGTAATTGCTGATTTTACTTACAAATCTACTTACAGTTCTAATGGTATGTCGCTTGGCTCTCACAATTAGTAGCGAATAAAATGACGCGATCACGATATGCTAAACAGGCATTCTTTGCAGATAGAATACGTCGTTCCTCGAGCGGTTTCTTAAGCCGAGCGCGAGTACGCACTTTGAAAATGACGATAACTATTATCGCCGTCTTCCTCATCTGCTGGAGTCCTTACTACGTGATAAGCGTTTGGTGAGTCTGCGAATCTTTACTGTGGACTAAACATTAATCGCGATACCAAAAGCATCGCGTTCCAAAAGTCCAAATGATATGAGCCGAACCGATTGGGCGGACGTGAAAATATTGATAATAACCCAAGGAGAAACGAAAAGTCAAGATGACGTCAATTTGATGCCATATTGACCAAATTTACGTCATATTTTGGTCAATATGGCGTCAATTGACGTCATCTTGATTTTTCATTTCTCCTAGGGAAGTACATACAACTTTGACGCGTTCACGGTCGTAGATACGCAAATTTCGTCTTACGAAAAAAATAGCGTATCCCAGATATTGAGAAAATCGCTACTGAATTCTACATCTTTATCGGCGCGCAAACAGGTACTGGATCGATCGATCGTCGGCCCTCAAAGTCGACCCACGCATTCAGCGAGCTCTTTTCTTCTTCGCGTGCACCAACTCCAGTATGAATCCCATCATTTACGGCATCTTTAATATACGCCAAAGGAACAAAGTGAGTATCCACCTCGAACTGATAAATTCTCACTAAAGCTTCGTGCTCGAAACATCACTATCTTCGTCACGTAACATTTCATATAAAATCGCGAGTTGTTTAATCGACAAAGCTTTGCATAAAAGATTTAGATATTCGATACGCGTAACGGTCTTGCGGCCGGCATTAATAAAATCCATACTCAGTTTGAGCGTGAAATGGAACTCGATTCGGGACGAATTCGCGTAATCGTCGCATTAATTCGATTATCCGCGCTCCACATGTCGTTAACACGTTCCACATTTGTCCATGCAATTGCGACAGATATTTTAATACCTCACGAAGGCGAGAACGAATTTGTACCACTTGCACTAAAAAAGAAGTAAATTTTCATAGATCATGTCTCTAAAAATTAAAAAGGCGCAACTTCGTTTTCGTACAATCAATTAGAGAAGATAGTATACGCCAAATTTATTCGAGTCCGAAAATGGTATCTTCTCCAATTAATTGTAATATTTATACCGGCCCTGTTTCTCTTACTCTCGTGATACTTTACTTTCAGTTCACCTTTCTTTTTACTAACACATTTGACCTAACAGTTGCCTGTATTTCAGGCAAAGCTTCAGTCCCATCCTCTTCTAAGGCCTGTCAATACAACCATGGAACTTCCGGTCGTCGCGTACGCCAGAGATTCCATTTTCACCGTTTTCGTAATAGCCTTACCGGTCCTCTTTAACCCCCCCGACTTCATATAACAGACGCTCATCGCACGATCGTAATGGTAATTTGTTATCTCGTGTGCTGATTGATAAGTAAATCCTCCCACACCGTTTTTGCATCCGCATCTTCCCCACGCGCGACTAATATACCAGTGATCACACATTGTTGCTTTCGCGAAGAAATAAAGAAGGCATAAATAGCCGCGGCTGCAAAGAGAGAACCACGCCGAATGTCCGGAGCGAGCGTAAACTTCGACGCCCGAGCTTTCAAGGCGTCGATTAGACGAGATTTGGGCTTTCGATAGCTCCAAGTTCCACGAAAATCTCTATTTTCGTTCTAGGCGCCGATGCGTACAGCCACCGTCGAGACCCGGGTCACGCCGCTGTCTCTATCAGTCAAACTTCTCGATTGACAATGAACGCGACGTTCGCCGGCTCGAACAGATGCGTCTAAACTGACAATGTTGGTCCGCAAAATATCTGCGTCCTTCTACCAAAAATCATTGGCAGCGCAATCACGTACTGCGCCTCTCACGACTGTCGTATCCACGCGCGGTTACCATCCGAACCGCGAAAACGCGGGTCTGTGCTATTAAAAAGTACCTGGCCTCACTCTGCCAGCTGCATGACGAGATTAAGCGAGATGAAAGCGCCTGTGATTGATCAAGTCGCGCCCGACGGTGAAGAGGATCCTCCGGTGAGATTGCGCGACGAGGAAGAACGGGGAATTTTCCCGGGTGAACTATGTACTCGTTCGTCTCTAGATGTATTTATTTCGAAGTTAGATAAGAACCCCTTTGAAAGCTGAAAAAGATTCTCTAGTCTAAGTTATTTTATACGTATTTGTTACGACATAAGCAAACGTTGCAAATGCAACCGCGAACGTGCTTCGTGTATGTGTTCTTTCTTTTTTTTTTCTTCTTATACTTTCGCGACACAAGGTTGTGCAAACAAGTTACGTAAGCTATTTATACACCGCTTATGTTCCGTGTATTTTTATAAAGAGGAAAAATATATCGTACAAAATGCGTGCGTTTGCGTTTCGCGCAAATCTCTTTCGTTATTTAAAAACCTCTAAAGGATAAGCTCGCGTGATCAATCGATTGTTTCTATCTGTGTATATTTTCTATAAATAAAGAGATCAGATCATTGTAATTTGTGCGACGCGCGTAATGTGCAGATTCACTATCCCTGATGCGATCGGCTAACGTAATGTGCTACACAATATGACTAACGATGTATTTCGGTCCATAACAGGTAAGGGAGTCATCGAAGAGTCTTTCCCGGAATCAGACGTGCTCACGAGCGTTCGCCAGCTCGGTCTCGATCGAGTTAAATCTGCGTGACTTCGTGGCAAGTCTGGTACATACATAACGGGCCAGTTACATCCATCAGACTCAGCCCGCGCATCGTAATGTCGGTCAATTAGGATGGAAAATTGATCACACGGCACGGCGCGCGGCCGCGCCAAGTCTCGGCCGGCATTCGACACGGCCGAAACGTAGTTAATGACGGGGACGAAATGACGACAGCGGGACCGAAGTGTTGGTCCCTTTCGTTCCGCGTGTCCGCAACGGCACGTGTATCGCGTGGACGAAAAATGCGGCATGACGGTATCGAAAGGCGAGAGCCAAACATCTCGCTACGTCGAAATCGGATTGTCTTTCGTAAGCTTGCGAGAGATAATCCTGCCAAGTTACAGCAAATCGATCTACTCGCAAATTAGAAATGCCACCGATCGTTAGACGTTCGACGAAACGTTCGCAGATGATCACAGGCAGTTCGAAGGAATTCGCAGGAATTGACGTCGAAGTCGCAAATATTTAATTTGTAACATTCGCGTGTATTTAACGTCGGATATTTCTTACGCGCGGATTACGCTCAATCGAATGGCCACGTGTCGCTTCACAAGTTAGCGTTCAGCTCCAATCGAACTCGACGATTGACTTTCGGATAAGATGCGCCAATTTCTTTTTGAAGACACCGTGTATATCACCATGGAGAAAACTAGGCTTTCTGCAAGGTGTCCACGGTTTGAAACTCGTGTGGATGTGTAGGTGGGACCACTTCCCACACACGCGTAACTGGCACACCAGCGACATTGTAACATACCTGTTGCAAGGTCCGTCGCATCGGAAAGACCTAAACTCCCGCCTCGAGATTGGAGAGGCTTTTTTATCTATATAAAAAAAAATAACAAGAAGCCGGAGCTGTGAGCGCAGAGAGCTGCCTGTCTACGTGTAAGATTTCTCACTGTCAACGTTTGTCCGTAGACATTGCCACGACGTGGTGACAATTTTGTAGATATTCCAAAATAACACGGGATGGTAATGTATGAGCGAGTGTATCGCATATTAATCGATTTCGCCGAGAAGTTCCTCATGTCACCGTAGAAGGAAGCGTTTAATTTATATTAGCGCCGGCTGTGACGCGCCTTTCCGCTATGACTATTTCATATCGTTAAAAACAGCTCGTGGGCGGGTGCACACAATAATGTCGGAGTAATGTATTGATGATATCAGGTCTAATCATTCAGTCAGATCATACGGCAATAATACCGCTTACTCCACTATCCATTTGCAACCGCGGGATCGATCCAGCGAAACGCGTTCAATAAATTTCACAAAAGTAATACATTATGTACGAACAAACGACATCTCTGAGACAAGATCTTCACGAATAAATTAATTCTCCCCCCCCCCCGTTCACCCGATCGTCCGATTGAATTATAAATTCATGTTAAGATTCTTATTTGCAAAACTACTTTCTTTATTCTTATCTTTCTATTTCCACCGGTTGTTTACAGGATTAATTTTATGTCGCAAACTACCTATCGCCCTCGTTCTTGTTTTTAGAAACATAATTATACAGGGAGATAATTTTCTCTTAAAATTTACCCTGGAAATCACGTAATTGTGGGACAACGTGGTACTTTGAAAAACTTTAGGATAGTTTTTTGAAATTTTACTATACATTTTTACTAGTAAAATGTATACTAAATATAATTACTAATAATAAAATGCGCGGTAAGATTTCGAAAAACTCATAAAATTGCTCGAAATGCCGCGTTGTCCCGCTACTCTTAAAATTTACCCTGAAAATCATGTAATTGTGGGACAACGTGGTATTTTGAAAAACTTTAGGACAGTTTTTTGAAATTTTAGCATACATTTTTACTAGTAAAACGTATACTAAATATAATCACTAATAATAAAATGCGTAGTAAAATTTCAAAACACTTTCATAAAATTCTTCGAAATGCCGCGTTTATCCCGCTACTCTTAAAATTTGCCCTGAAAATCATGTAATCGTGGGACAACGTGGTATTTTGAAAAACTTTAGGACAGTTTTTTGAAATTTTAGTATACATTTTTACTAGTAAAATGTATACTAAATATAATCACTAATAATAAAATGCGCGGTAAGATTTCGAAAAACTCATAAAATTTCTCGAAATGCCGCGTTGTCCCGCGATTGCGTGATTTTCAGGGTAAATTTTAAGAGAAAATTCTCTCCGTGTAGCTTGCAATGTTCTTAAAATAATAAAATAATAATGATCCCGGTTCATTTTAATTGATCGGTGTTTTTCTCGCCCGCTACGTATCGGGCGCAGGCAGCACGCACAAAATCTCGTTCGTAAAGCCGTGTTCGTGGGCGACGTATAAAGTCGCGGACGGTCCGTATCCGCGCTCCAGTCGGCGGCCGTGCCGTCGGATCCGTCAGAATACATCGCGCCGTGAACCCGGGACGAGAGAGAGCGGCTCGCCAAGGAGCCTGCAGGAGAGTTGTGTTTCGCTTTTCAATCTTCAGAAACCCACAGTCGTGGACGACACCGAATACGTTCGCGCGGAGTACATCGAGGTCGCGTCAGGATGCGAGTCCTGACTGTCCTGGTCCTCGGGCTGCTGGCTGCCTGCGCCGTCGATGGTAGCGTCGTGCCCGATGAAGGTAAAGCTCTCGATTTAAAAAAAAAAAACAGTGGCGAATATTCGCGAGAATTTTCATGTCGACGAGGTCCTAGCGGCGACACTTTCCGTCCACTTTGCGTTGACTCCGATTCGCGTTCTCTTCTTGAGAAAATAAAACGCTTCTTCCGCTATTCTCTCCGCGTTCCCGCACCGCTGAAGACCATTCTCGGCGCGGCGCGACAAGAAACCCGGTAGTAGCGTACGAGATCGGTGACCAATACATGAGACTTCCCTCGGGTCACTCAACTATTGTGTTCTATCGCCGAGTGTTTATTATATTTTTTAACGTATATATCAAACAACTTGGACTACAATTTCCTTTTAATTGAGATCTATTCGACGGATAATTGTTTTCACTTATGCTTACCTTCTTTTAATCCCCTTCTTTTAATCGCCGCACGACAGCTCTAACTGCGAGCCTGCAGAACGCGTGGTACGAAGATGAGTTCGTCATTGCGTTATCCAACTGCAACAGGGACAAGAGGAAGCACTCCGGCGGTGCGATCGAGACCCTGTTGGCGGTCAAGTATCGGGGCGTGAAAACGAAAATGATGCTCATACTCGATCGACGGACGAAGCGCGGTGAGTCGAGAGATTTTTCTTCCTTCGGACCTCCGCGTTACAATTATTTACGACTTCGATATTCCAGTTGTACTCGAGAGCCTGGACGATACCGGGCGGCGCAGCGCCTCGCACGTCAACGTGGATAGCCTTGCGGTGACCACCCCTCTGAAGAGTCTGATTATCCTCGTGCATCAGAAGCAACCTAATTCCCGCATGGACGTGTACGTCGACTGCGTTTACGAAGGTTCTATACCGCTCAAGCAAACTTTCCGCGACATAGCCGAGATCGAGGACAACTCGTTGGTGGAAGTGGTAAGTTTTTATGCATAATATTCTACACGGGATATTTTCCACAACGGTCTTGGCTCGAGTAATTCTTCTAGACATTATTCTGCACGTTTTAGTGGCGCCCAGTTCGCGCATTTTTACCGAAGAAACACGTCGTCGGAAATAGTTGTTTTCGAAACGTCAAATCTAAAAAGAAATCGTTTATACCCGCACGCATTAATTTTGTCCGATGTTATTTTTTTCGCCGTGCCGCTTTCTTCGCTCATACGTTCGTACGGTAGTTTCTTATTTACGCGCTGTTCGCGACGTCCACAAACGTGGGACGACGTCTTTCCAAATATGGTTGACGAGACCTAAGCTAGTTGCTTCTGTTACGTGCACCTGGTTGGCTTACCCAACCCAGACACAACGATCCCTGACTACTCGGATGAATTGAATTCGTTTCAATGAATTATTCGCGCCCTATTTCTGTCACTGGCATTATTACACTCTGACTTTATGCAATGTCACAATTCTACCTAACTTTCTATTCTCGACAATTCTTCTAGGCTTTTATATTTCGTTTGCCACTAAAATAAAACCGATTCTCCTAGTTGCCATATTGATTTTGACAGCGATTTAACAGTATTAAAAATATTAATAATTATTTCAATTGCACATGTTGTATACAGTTTTTTGTAGACTACCAAATGCAATGCATTTCTTATTTATTTAACAATCCGTTGAATTGAAATTTATTTGCTTAGCAATAATATTAATTTATTAATAAATATTTCACGTTTTCGCGTTTTAGTTTAAAGAACGAAAATGCCGAACGAAATTGTATCGGGCTGCAACCATCACCGAGGTGTTAAGGAAAGAGCTATGCCCCGACAATTTATCCGATATGAAACAGCCTTCGGTATACGAGACCGATCAACCGAAAGCACGACCTATCGATGAAGACGATCCAAAGAAACCTATCGATCGATCTGACGGGGCCGAAAGTGAAGAAGGGGGATCGAGTATACCGGATAACGGCTTGGCATCTTCCAGTGGCCCGAAACATCCCTGGGATCATAAGAAACCTTCCGATAGAAAGGACCACCATCATGCTCGTCCGAGCGATCGGGATCGACCTAAGAAGAAAGATCACTCGGGTCATCCACAAGGCAAGAGCAAACCAGATAAACACAGCCCGTACAACTCTTTCGATCCGTTTACTCAACCTGGGAAATCGGACGAGACGGACGATCTCGATTACCCGGATGGATCTCTGTCGCTCACTCCACAATCGCCTAAAGGACACCGACCCACCAAAAGACCACATCAATTTGGACCCTCTAAACGACCCGATAGTCACTTAAGTTCGGGACCCGACAATTCGGATACGTATGACTTGGACAGACCTGGACGATCGGATGAGACGGACGGTCTTGACCATCCAAACGGATCCCGTCCCCCACAGTTCACCTCGCAGCCTCCGCATTTCACTGCGTCTTATCAACCCACTAAGAAGCCTGGTCTCGCTAAATCCGATCAAGCAGGTTCGAGGCCCGGGAAATCGGACAAACGACCCGGCGGTTCGAGTCCGTATGGTTCTAATAAGAATCCTTCCCTAATACCAGATGAGTCTGATGAGTCTGGAGCTCCCAATAGTTCCAAGCGACCTGGTCGAAGTCCGTACTCCGGTGGTCCGTACTCCAGTCCAGGCCAAGATGAATACGATTCGAATCAGACGGACGTACCAGGTTCGGATGAATCGTCCGGCAAAAGAGTACCCAGGCGAGGCGACATCGGGATCCAGAGTTTGGACGAGCGAGGTGGGTGAGATAAGCGGACGTTAAATTAAGTCGTTTAACAGTGTTCTCACGGGAAACGTTTTCCAGTCTGCCAGACCGACGATCAAATCGTGAAGACCTTGAACGAATTAATCAACGCTACCAGGAAACTCTGGAGGGAACTGGAACTAAATGTGAGTTAAAGCGATGAAGCAATTTCTTCATTATACTCGTATGTGAATTGATATCGTTGAGTCTCGAATTAATACTTTCGTTGATAATATTACGAGCATAAATATGAATAATCTTAGAACGTTATATTTTCCTCAATTACGTACAAAATAAAAATGATCATGATAAAAATGACATAAGATCACGCAAAGTCTTGGTTTTTATTAATCGAGTATTTTGGCAGAAGGAAACGCAACGTTGTTCGATAGGGAGATAAAAGCAATTTGACAGACTTACGACTCATTTATGTTTCCGTGTTGCAGAGGATGGAAACCCAGCAGCTTCGTCACTTGATCGAAAACTGCTCGGCGTGTCGTACCGGTGAGTGACGTTCCGTCGTATTGAAAGGACACGTGCTCGAAAATAACAGTTCTTTTAACTTAGAAGCTAGCCAAAACCGCATCGTAATGCCAGTTGAATGAATCTTATTAATCTATCTCACGCGCGTCGTCCTTGACACCCTCGGACTTTAATCTGTACGTGGCAATTGTCAGCGGAGACTACCTATTTATATGCAACAGTTGTATTAATCAATCTTACAACGCAATAAATGCCTGTTGTTAGAAAAAAATTCAACTTTGTTGTGACTCTTGTATTCTTGCGTTGCGCAATCTGTAGCGCGTATTCACATTTACATGTCTCTTTCGATATGTGGGCGGTTAGCGGGAGCTTTCGCTTAAAAGCTATCAAAACGCGATGTCCATAAAAATCATACGTCGCTAATCTCTTTGAGCTAATTACTCTTTGATTACAAGTTTACAATTTATATAAAGATTCTGTTGCAGTATAATCAACAAATTTTACATGCGCTCTCTCTCT